GGGTCAGTAACTCTGCATTTTTAAAAGTCCCTCCTGGGTCTTTTGAAATAACAAGACCAATACCTCAGCAGAGTGTGCTGCTTATATACCACCCCATATGTTTAGAGTACAGTGGTGCCTCGCAAGACGAGCGCTTCGTTTTACGACAAAATCGCATAACGACGAAGTTTTTGCGATCGCAAAAGGGATCGCAAAACGATGTTTTCTATGGTTTTTTTCGCTTTGCGATGATCGGTTCCCTGTTTCGCTAACCGATTATCACAAAACGATTTTAGAACAGCTGATCAGTGGTTTCAAAATGGCAGCTGGGTAAAAAAATGGCCGCCCGCTGTTTTCTGGGACAGATTCCTCGCTGCACGGGCAGCGCAAATGGCCGCGCTATGGAGGATCTTCGCTGGACGGTGAGTTTCAAGCCCATAGGAATGCATTAATCGGGATTTAATGCATTTCTATGGGCTTTTAAAAATCACTTCACAATGTTTTCGTTCTACAGCGATTTCGCTGGAACAAATTAACATCGTAATGCGAGGCACCACTGTACTCTCTGGACAGTTTACAATTTGATTAATTGGGTCAAAAAAGATGAAAATCCCCCAGACCCTACTAATTTCCACATCCGAATGGCCCCCAGTATCAGAACAGGAAGTGTGCAAATTTATTGATGCTCTAGCAACAGACAAAGCACCTGGCAAGGACATGATCCTGCCAGAGGTGTATAAAAACAACCTGGAATTGTGGGCCCCAGTTCTAGCATAATTCTTCTCTAACATTAACGCTACAGAAATTTTCCCCGAGGGGTGGAGGCAGAGCATAATTTTCCCAATTTATAAAAAGGGCTTTTTTAGTTATGCCCTCAGCAAAAAGAAAAACAGGAAATGATAGGGTCACTACATGGAGAAGATGGCCAGCTACTAACAGAGGACAGGGAAAAGGCAGATCTACTTTGCAGCTAAAGGAAAAACAAGGAAATGATGGGGTCACTGCATGAAGACGATGGCCAGCTACTAACAGAGGACAGGGAAAAGGCAGAACTACTCAACACCTTCTTTACCTCAGTTTTCTCCAAAAAGGAAAATAGTGTTCAATCTGAGGGCCAAAGATCAGGTGATGTAGTGGGGAAAAGGCAGCACAGAATAGGTAGAGAAGTAGTAGAGGGATACCTGGCTACTCTAAATGAATTCAGATCTCCTGGGCCAGATGAATTACATCTAGGATATTAAAAGAACTGGCAGAAGTAATTTCAGAACCATTGGTAATAATCTTTGAGAATTCTTGGAGAACAGGACAAGTCTCCATAGACTGTAGAAGGGCAAATGTTGCCCCAATCTTCAAAAATGGGAAAAAAAGAAGACCCAAATAATTATCGCCCAGTCAACCTGACATCAATTTCTGGAAAAATTATAGAGCAGATCATTAAACAGTTTCTTATTACTTAGATAGCAATGCTGTCATCACTAAAAGTCAACACGGGTTTCTGAAAACAAGTCATGCCAGACTAATCTGATCTCTTCTTTTGATAGACACAGGCTTGACAGATGAAGGGAACGCTGTGGATGCAGCATATCTTGATTTCAGTAAGGCTTTTGACAAAGTTCCCCATGATATTCTTGCAAGAGAGCGAGTAAAATGTGGGCTAGAGTGTGCTACTGTTCAGTGGATTTGTAATTGGTTGACTGACTGAACCCAAAGGTTGCTCACCAATGGCTTCTCTTCATCCTGGAGAGAGGTAACTAGTGGGGTGCCTCAGGATTCTGTTCTGGGCCCTGTGCTATTCAACATCTTTATCAATGACTTGGATGAAGGAATAGAGAGTATGCTGATTAAATTTGCAGATGATACCAAATTGGGATGCTATTTCCCCAGAGCACAGGATTAAAATTCAACATGACCTTGACAGATTGGAGTCTGAGCCAAAACTAACAAAATGAATTTCAGCAGGGAGAACTGTAAGGTCCTACACCTAGGCAGAAAAAAATGAACTGCACAGATATAGGATGAAACATGAGTCAGCAGTATGATGCGGCTGCCAATAAACCATCCAGAGTAGACCTTTGGTAGAAATACAATAAATAAGCTCTATACCTGCCTTCTTTTCCAGAAGGTGGCTAAATGGATGGAGGAAAATAACATCCTTCACCAGGAACAAGCAGGTTTTAGGAAGGGCCACTGCACAGTAAATCAAATCTACGTGCTACATCATCTTGTACACAAATATACCATCAGGCTGTTAAATTTTAATGGCTGTTCACAGCTTTTGTTGACTTTTCCTCTGCATTTGACACTATCACCAGAAATCGCCTATGGGATAAGCTTGCAGAGACTAACATTGAGAGACTCCTAACCCTAATACAGGAACTATATTCCAACACAATATTGAGGGTAAGGATTAGTACAGATGGAAGGCTGACAGAGGAAATTCATACTAACAAAGGGGTAAAACAAGGGTGCTTACTTGCACCCCTAGTCTTTAACTTTTATATTAATAATATTGTAACAGCTTGAAACCATCCAGACCATTTCACCGCCTCAATTGGGAACTATAAGATTGCAAGTCTTACATATGCTGATGACATTGTATTACTATCTGTGATGGAGTTGAAGGAATGTGGGATATGCAGTCAAAGAAATGTAAGATGGAATCAGATAGGTTCTGTGTGAAGATGATTTGAGAGACATTGGAATGTGTTTTTCTAAGTGATATGAGTGTTTTTCTGAAGACTGGTACAGCGTGGTTCGAGATAAAGCTGAAGGTTGGACAAAGAGGCCCGTGGAAGACTCAATATTCTGAGCTAATTGGAGAAGAGATAAAACACCTGGATTTTCATGGTAATTGAGTGCTTTGAGGCTAACTGACATGAAGTGTCAAGATGAAGGAAGGAGTTAGAGAATGTAGAAAATGGACGATGGGTTATGTGGGAGAAGTTTGATTCCATGATGATGGGAGAGAAAAAGAACTTGATGGTTTGAGCATGTGGCTTGAAAGTACTGGGTAAAAGTAAAGCTACGCACTGCTGAGGTCTTAGGACTTGCCCCAGCGCAAAGGTGGTAGGTAAGTGATCTGTTGAACTCTCTGACTGAGTGCTAATCGCTCCTTAGGGAGCCTTGAGCACCACACTATCTATGAACAAAAAGGGATTGAAGAGAAGCTTCAATAAGCTCTAAGAGTTCAGCCACCTAGAGCAACTAAAAATAAATTACACAAAATCTAAAGTGATGATATTTGGAAAGCATTCCCCCCAATTCAGCTAGAATATAGGCAAAAATAAAATATAACAAGTCCAGACCTTTTAAGGACTGCATTTTGAAGGGAATAAACTGCTGGAAATCCCAGATACAGGGCATCAAAAATTGGTTCAGAAATCTAGCCATGCTGTGGCCAAATTTTTCCATTCTAAAGGTGCTAACCTAGTAACCCCAGCATTAAAAGTCTTGCCAGGGAGGGTGATCTCTCAAATGTTTTTTTGGAATTGAGATCTAGGGTATGAATCAGAACAACCTACACCATCTTGAAGTAGGACAGAACAAGTTTCTGAGACACATCCTCGCAGCACCTCAGGGGACTCCGGCAGCTTTTCTTAGAACAGAGGCAGGCATGGTGTCCATTAAAGCCAGGGCAACTCTAGCTATATTCTCCTACTACAAGAAGGTGATGGATATGTCCAATCCCTGTCTACCTAAACCCTGTATGGTAGAGCAATGGAAGAGTTGCGGCCAGACAACTTCAGTTCAAACCTTATTAAAATCTAAATCCCTCTCCACGTACATTTTTGTTTTTTCTGGGGTTAAAAAATACTGAGGGACTGGATCTACAAACTGAATAATGACTAGGACTTAGGTTTAATAGACTCTTCAAATTTCTCTCACTGGTACCATCTTCTGAAAACAAACCACTCAAGGGCGCAATACTTACATACTTACTTTTGCCTCCCTGAGAACCGCATTCACAGAACTTCATTTTCAAACCATGCCAACTGTTGTCTTAGACGGCAGGTACATGAATGTCCCTAAGCATCTAAGGCTGTGTATTTGCGGAGCAGGTGAGATAGAGGATGTTGTTACTCAACTGTCAGCTCTATCAAAACCCTGGAGAAAAATTTCTGGGTAACATTTTGGCTGCCTTACAGGAAGAAAGCCCTCAGATAAAAGTGGCCAGGTTACTTTTGGACTGTGACCCACATGTTACATACAGAACTGTGCTGCTTGCAAAAGCGGCTAGAAACATCTGCACTGATTTCCTGAGAGCCATCGTGACCAATTGTGTGGGGGACTCCCAGATATGACAGGTCTCTTATTATTTTATATGTCTGTGATGTTACCATGATTTTACTTGATCGTATTCATTCATTCATTCATTCATTCATTCATTCATTCATTCATTCTATTTGTACCCCGCCTATCTGGTCAAAACAACCACTCTAGGCGGCTTCCAGACAGATAAAAATACAAACACATATACATATAACAAAAAATTAAAAATATACAGAAATAGACAATTAAACAATAAGGAATAAACAATAAGCAAATTCTTCAAGATGGCGAAAATAACAAGGAATAGATAAAGAAGGAAAATTAATTGTTATCTGGAGGGAAGGCGTGCTTATCCATGTTTTTAGATGGGTCTTAAAAATACCCAGTGATGGGGCCTCACAAATCTCTGGAGGCAAGTTGTTCCAGAGGCGAGGAACATTTGCATTTTAAAGAATTGTGACGGCTTTTAGCCAACACAACAGACCTGAACTTGGTACAATTTAATTATGCAGTCTGCACATTGCCTCCCACCTCCGGGACATGGGCACTCCATTTACCAGCCTCGGAAGGATGAAAGGATGAATGAACCTTGAGACAGCTACCTGAACCCGCTGGGATTGAACTCAGGTTGTGAGCAGAGTCTTGACTGCAGTGCTGCAGTTTAACCACTACACCCTGAAGCCCTTCGAAACAAAGCTTCCATGATCCAACAAACCTTCTGAACTGAAGCCTAAATCACTATGACCACTAACCTTTGGATGTCTGAGTTTTCCATTTTGCCTGTTTCGCTGCCATTCCTAAAGTTACCAAAAAGAAAAGAATTTACATATAAGTGGAAAGGTTCACACAATGTAACATACCTCACAACATTTATTTATTTAAATTTTTAAATTTAACTTAAAACATTTTTACCCCACCTTGAAAGGACCCAATGTAGAAATCCATACATAGCACAATTCACCAGAGTAAAACCAAAATTGTTATTCTAAGCACCTAGTATTTCTTTTTGCATAAAACGTTTTTATCTTCCATTGAACATTTCAAGAGTATAGTTCTGTGTGCTGACATGAGGGGATATTTCTGCCCTGAAAAGCAATGTGCACAAATACACATGCAAAATACAGCCAGGCTGATGTGCGTGACAGCACTCCCTCAAGCACCCAAATCCTGAATTTCCATAAAGCTTTACAGGTTTACTTTGAATTGTGCTTGCCTTCCAGATGTTTCAGCTGATGACTCACATCACCACCAACCAGGCTCTCAAGGACTGATGAGACTTGTATTACAAAAACATCTGGAGGATGCCACATTTTGGCAATGCCTCACTGTGCCATCATACAATCGTCACAATATGTGGTACCGTCATTTTTGCCTTTACTAATGGAACACTAAGTTAGCTAATGTCTAAATGTTCAATGTTGCAATAATTTATTATTTAGCTTTAAACTTTATTTCTTTTAATATGGTATGCCACCTTGGATCTTTTCAGAGAAAGCTGGCATGTAAACAAACAAACAAATAAAATCAGTAACCACTAGCCAAAATGGCAATAACCATGCAACGTTACAATATTGTATAAGATGGTTATTCTTCTTCTAGTGCAATTAGGAGTTCTTATGGGCAGATGGTAAAATCACTGGGCAATCATAGTTTGTTCAGCTTCTTCCTGGTATCCTTGCTTGTCACAGGGATGGGAGAAGACGGTTACCTTAAAAGCATCAACAACTGCAATACAATCACTCTTGCTGTTCCCAGAAAAATGCAGTTTATTCCTGTAAAGCAACAATAATTTGTCAACATTTTAGTTCAAGGTCTCCTCCTCCTAGCCAAGCCCAGAAAACAATATTCAATACTAAACTACAGAAAACGGAGCAAATTTCAAACTATCTGACACACCCTTGTCAAAAAATATACACAGAAGAAAAATACCTGTGCTGATAATAGTGAGAGCATCCGAATTTGGAATATAAACTTTAAAAATTAATTTGTTTCACTATTCTCCCAAAACAGAATTAAAGTATAATATAAATAGCAAGAATGATGTTGATCTTTCCTTTTAGAAGAACGTACAAGTAGTGTGTAGATCAAATATGCTGTCTACGAGAAAGTTTACCAGTATAGAAACTAGAGACATATTTTTCTTTGGCCAAAAATAATCCCAGCTCAACAGAGTAATATTTACTGTTGATGTACTGTAGTATCATGCATTCTGCCTCCACCATCTTAGGGTGAAACATGACTATACAGTGGTGCCTTGACTTACGACCATAATCTGTTCCAGAAGATGGACGTAACTCAAAATGGTTGTAAACTGAAGCACCATTTCCCACAGGAAGTCGTTGAAATGCAATTAATCAGTTCCGGCCAAAGAAAAAAAATCAACAAGAAAAAAATCACTGCAAGACTCATTGGAAACGTGATTAATCCCTTCGGGGGGGGGGGGGGAAGGAGAGAAGAAAAGCAATCAACAATGCAAGACTCATTGGAAAAAGCAAGGGAAACATGCAGGACCCATCAGAAATGGGGGGGGAACCCAAAAAGCAACCAAACCCCACAAGACCCATTGGAAATGGGGGGAGCCAAAAAATAAATGCCCCAAGACCCATCGGAAATGGGGGAAACCCCCCAAAAGCAACAAACCCCCCAAGACCCATTGGAAATGGGGGAAAGCCAAAAAAACAACCCCCAAGACCCATTGGAAATGGGGAACCCCCCAAAAAAGCAACCAACCCCCCAAGACCCATCAGAAATGGGGCAAAAAACCCAAAAACAACTCCCCAACACCCATCGGAAATGGGGGGGAAATCCCCCAAAGCAACCAACCCCCCAAGACCCATCAGAAATGGGAAAACACACTCCAAAAAGCAACAAAAAACCCAAGACCCATCAGAAATGGGGAGGAAACAAAACAACCAACAACTCCCCCATGACCCATCACAGCACAGAAATATACCCCCACCCAGCCCAAAACCACGCGGCAAAAACACCCAGAACAGTTTTTAAAAAGCAGAAAACAGCACCTTACTTTACCAGGCAGCCCAAAGCCTCCCTGCAAACACACACACACTCAGAAGCAGAAGCGAGGCAGTCCCAAGCCTCTTCCAACACACACTCTCTAATTGCTGGGGCGAAAGAGCTACAAGGAAGCAGCCTCGTCGCCACCTACAGTTAGAAATTTGAATTTCCTGCCTTTTTCTGTTCGTAAGTGGAAGCTCTGGTCACAAGTAGAAGCAAAATTTTGCGGCCAGAGCTGGTTGTAACTCGAAATGGTCGTAAGTAGTGACGTTCGTAAGCACCACTGTACATTTATGATGTTGGTTTTTTTGTGGAGGTGCTCCTCCAAGTGGTGAAAGCATATTTTGTTTCTTGATTGGTCACTTCATTAAAAAGTCGGATTGCTGTGATGTGCATCTCTAAGGAAATCTCACTATGGGAGTGGCAAAGGAGTTCACAATATGGAATATGTATTTCCTTTCATATCTTAGTTTGACTTTCATATACAACGCATGCTACATCTTCTCAAGTGTTAAACTAGGTGAAACTCTAGCATCATCATCATGTGCTGTCAAATCTAATTTATGATGACCCTTTCCAGGGTTTTCCCGGTAGACAAGATTCAGAAGTGGTTTACCATTCCCTTCTTCTGGGGAAGCCCTGGGACTGTGCAGGTTGGCTCTACTCGCAGAAGGCCCAGTGGGGAATCAAACTCCCAGACTCTAGTTCCACAGCAAGATATGTCATCTACTGAGCTATCCAGCCAGCTAATTCTAGAATAATATACAGTGGGGTCTTGACTTGAGAACTTAATCCGTATTGGAAGGCAGTTCTCAAGTCAAAAAGTCTGTAGGTCAAGTCTCCATTGACCTACAGTGCATTGAAAACCGATTAATCCCGTAACAGGCCGTTTTTGTTCCATTTTGGTTTTTTTCTGGTCTGTAAGTCAATTCTCAGGCTGCAAGTCAAACCTAAATTTTGCGGGCAGAGAAGTCTGTAACTCAAGCCGTCTGTAAGTCAAGGGTCCACTGTATCTCAAAACAAGGGAAGCGAATAGTTTGCTTCAGAACGAATATTTACAGATCTGTCTAGTGAACTGAATCACTGGTTACAATGAACTTTTGCAATTTCATTGAAAAGCCACTGGTAATGATGCGGCTAAAAATACTGTAAATAAATAGATTAGATTAGATTAGATTAGATTAGATTAGATTAGATTAGATTAGATTAGATTAGGATAGATAGATAGATAGATAGACAGACAGACAGACAGACAGACAGATAAAATACCTGTATCCATCAAGATGCTGTCTGAAAGGTATTACGAAGAAGCTGTTCAAAGACAGGGCTGCAGCTATAGAATAGAGAGGGAACAATATTTATTAATAAAAACCAGCATCCTGTCTTTCCCTCAAAGAACATCGCAGGATCCAAGAACAGAGACTAAGTACCTCTGAATCTCAAATGGAAGCAATGAAGCTGAGGTTACTCTGTCCTTGTTACTTCTGCCTCCCTTCCCTTCCCCTCCATGTGGCTTGTTACCCCAGTGCCAAAAACTTGAGATTGTAATCTCCCTGGGGCAAAGATTTGTTTCATATGATTATGACTAATGTTATAAAGCAGCATGAATAAAGAGATTACAATGTAATGGATTAACAACCCAGGCAAACAAGATTCCCAGTCTAAGGAGTAACCTATATTTATCCCTTTGACTCACCAATTATAAGACATTCTTCCAGACAGCCAAAGACATGGCCAAGAACAATGAGCTTGCCAAGGTGCTGATTCACTGGTAACTTTGCCAACACCCTTCCGAGGAAGGTCAATTCACCATCATAAGGGTTTTCTTCTTCAGAACCGACTCCAATTGCTAGGGCCCCTATCTATATCAAGATGGAAGTAATGGTATGTTAATAGGAAGTTGATCTGCCAAGCAACACAAAGGCTTAAAACCAAAACCCTCCCTGGTTTGCACATCACAATAAGCCATGGTTCCAAATGAACCGTGGCTTGCTGCTTACAAGCCCACTGGCTTGATTACTCCTTCTGGAAGTGGGAGCTGCAAAATGAGAAGTTAGGAACACATTGCTCTACAGGTGTTATTAGACTACAACTCCTATCAGACCTACCAGTACACTCAATAGAGAGGAAAGAGGGGAGCCACAATCCACAACATCTGAAAAGCCACACATTCCACATCCCAGAGCTAAGCAAGCCACCTATCTTCTATTCATGGTTTGTTTAGCATGACATGCAAATCAAGACCTCCAGCTTTAGTCATACTTGGCGAGACAGAGTCTTGGAAGCCAAAAACAATCTGAGGCTTATGACTCAGATTAGAGTAGAGACAAGTCAAAGTTCCAGGTTGATAGGTTATGCTAAATGTTTTACAGACAGAAACTTTCTGGGGTTTTGAGCCATTCCCACTCACAGGAGAAGCTAAGTTGGAGTGATTCAACACAGCTCACCAGCAAACTGCATTTCATTACAGCTTACTGCCGTTTAGCAGCTCCTAGCATATTGTAATCCTAATTGCACCCAGTATGTGCTAGAATTATACTCAAATTCATGAGCACACGTTAATGTTAAATATGTGAAATCTGTTATCTGTCATGCCAAAGATAGATCAGGCAATGAATGGAAAATACTTTTCATGGGCATTACTGCCTTGCTATTTAGGTTACATCAGCATGCAGTTTGTCCTTAATCCATTTACAGTGGTGTTATCCATATATGCTGCTTATATTCTTCTTTACTGATTTTTTCTTCGTCTGTTGTCAGCCACCACTCCTAACATTTCAATCTCCATAGCACATGAACAGTTGTCCTCTGTTGAAAACAAAATTACTGAGCCCTGTCCTCTGTTGAAAACAAAATTACTGAGCCCTGTACGCGTGGTTATACTTACTTTAATTGATAAACGTACAAGAAAGGAATGCATACCTCTTTAAGACGTAGGATGGTCTGTTCAATGTCACTTATATTGGGAGGAGACAGAGCTGTTGCTAGCAAAGCCGTTGGTTCTCCCATGTCAAGCAGCTTCACCTTCAACACTGTAGTTTCTAATGGACATCGCTGGGGGAAAATAGCAAAGCCGTTGGTTCTCCCATGTCAAGTAGCTTCACCTTCAACACTGTAGTTTCCAATGGACATCGCTGGGGGAAAAAACACAATGGCACACTGCTGACAATTCCTAGTTTGCAAAAAACACTGACTTGCCATCATTGCCAATGAATACTCTCAAAGCACATTCTTTTTCACCCACTGGGCAAAACTAGACGATACATGGGAATCAACACAAAATGTTTAAAGGAAGCTAAAACAGATCACTTAGAAAAGAATACATCTGTATCGGCAGGTGCTAGAAATCTAAGGTTCACTATCTCCACATCTTCACACACCCTAAACCTTGACAGACTACAGCTGCCCCCTTTTTCCCCAAATATGGACATGGATTGAAAGGTAAGTTTTCAGTTCTACAAGAACATTATTTTGATCCAAGAGAGATCTTCAGAGGGGAAAAAAAGACAATTCTGAACCTCAGAAAGGTTAAGGAATGAAACAGCATGAAGAAGGCCACTTGTACCCCAAAATGAATGTTTCTGGCATGTGAATGGCGATTATGAGCATGAATATTTTTTTTTTCTAGCAAGGAAAGCTTCTCACAGATCTGGACGGCCCTGCAGGGGGACTGCTGGAGGGACATATACCACACATCTCATCTCATCACTCATTTTATCAATCATGTGTGCTGCTGACAGCATCTTCCAAGAGCTAGGACGTGACAGGAAGTTTTAAGGAAGAAGCGCATATTCCTAATCTTGCGTGCAACGGATTGTGGCTCCCACCTGCCTGTTCTGTTCCTAACAAGGAAGCTATGAAAGGAAGCGTTGGAGCAAAACCAATGTGAAAATGGCACCTGTAGTGGGAGAAAGGTGGTAGACTGCCTGACCGTAAAGGTGAACGGTGAAGATGTGCCTAAAGGCACCGAACCGATCAACACAAAATATGAACAGAAGAACAGTATCAAAGAAGAAGAGATTAACGGAAGAAAGACCAAGCCTACACGTGTTTCAGAAAAAGAACCAAAGCAAATCTGTTGCAACATTACTAACGCTATGACAGGGATCACAAAGGCACTAAGTGCAAAGATTTTTTGCCCTCTCCTGATCCACATTCTCGGAGAACTTAAATGCAAGAGAATGGACTGAGGCTGAACCTGGACAAGACAGAGGCCCTGAGGGTGGGTGGCCCCTCCATTGGTGGTTTGGGAAACTCCCTCTCTTTTGGGGGAGTGACTCTCAAAACGAAGAGTGAGGTTTGCATCTTGGGAGTCCATCTGGATCCAGCACTCACCATGGAAACTCAGGTAGCATCAGTGGTCCACTCTCCCTATTTCCATCTGTGGCAGATTGCCCAGCTATCTTGATGGTGGGGTGCTCACCACTTTGGTGCATACGCTTGTAATTTCGAGATTAAACTACTGCAATGCACTCTACGTGGGGCTACCTTTGAGATTTGATGCGGAAGCTTCAAATGGTGCAGAATGCGGTGTCCAGACTTCTCAGTGGGACTAGAAAATATCAGGATATCGCCCCCACTCTGGCTGCCTTGCATTGGCTGCCCGTTCGTTTCTGCATTGATTTCTAAGTGTTAATGATGACATATAAAGCCTTAAACGATTTAGGATCTTGATATCTAGCGGAACACCTCTTCCCACCTACATCTACTCGGATCACTCGTTCTAGCCAGGAAGGGCAGCTGAGGGGCCTAATGCTGAGGGAGGCCCAAAGAAAAAGAACAAGAAACCGGGCCTTCTCGGCAGTGGCCCCTCGCTTTTGGAACAGTCTCCTTCCCAAGAGATCTGTCTGGCTCCCTCGCTGGGTATTTTTAAGAGCCAACTTAAGACTTGT